GATGTTGTGTCTGCCGATAACTAAAAAATAAATATTAAAAAAATGCAGATGCTAATTCACAATAAGGTGGGGGTCACTAGGGAATAGCATTTCCTTAGATTAGGTAAAGGGAAGTGATGGGAGGGGAGGAGAGGGTATGTGGGGATAGGAAAGATCACCAGGTATCCTACTCCTTGGTTTACACCCAAAGAACTTAAAATCAGCATTCTATAGTGACACAGCCACATCAATGTTTATAGCAGCTCAATTCATAATAGCTAGACTATGGAATCAACTTAGGCATCCCTCAATAGATGAGTGGATAAAGAAAATGTGATATATATACTCAATGGAATATTACTCAGATTTAAAGAACAGTAAAATTATGGCATTGCCAGTAAACGGTTGGAGTTGGAGAATATCATGCTAAGTGAAATAAGTCAATCCCATAAAACCAAAAGCCGAATGTTTTCTCTAAAATGTGGATGGTAATTCACAATAAGGCACTAGAATAGCATTTCCTTAGATTAGGTAAAGGGAAGTGATGGGAGGGGAGGGGAGGGGATGTGGGGATAGGAAAGATAATAGAATAAAACAGACATTATTACTGTATGTATATATGTGACTACATGACCAATATGCTTCTGCAACATGTACACTGAGAAAAATGATTATATCCTATCTATATATGATATATAAAAGTGCATAAATGCATTCTACTGTCATGTATAACTAATTAAAACAAATTTTAAAAAACCAAATGTCACACTCCAGGAATGAACGATTCCAATACGGGCACAGCACTACATACATTGGTGGGGGGAAAGTGCAAAGATCCCCAATGTCTGAAAACAGGGGCTGGTGACCTAAACTCTACTCATATAATAAAATGATATCCAGCCAATAAGAAGGATTAAGTAAATCTCAATATTCAGCATATATATGAGGCTCATAAGAGCTAAATTTAAAAAGGGAAACTTTGAAAGCATTATCCTAAGTGAACTAAGCCAGAAACAAAAGGCCACATACTGTATGCTTCCACACACAGGAGATGTCCTAAATAGGCAAATCTGGAGACAAAATTTTTATTGTGGTTGGAAGGGCAGGGGTGAGAGGTATAGTGTTTCCTTTTGGGGGTATGGAAGTATTCTTAAGATAGTGGTAATTGTTGTACAACCCTGTAAGTATAATAAAAACCACTTAGTCATACTCTAAAATGGTGAATGTTTTTATACAAATTTTATCTCAATAATGAAAACCTTAAAAATAAGATGTGTACTGTGTATATTCAAATGTGTGTATAAGTCACTGGGAGGAGAAAGAGGATACCTGTATTTTTATATGGCAACCTGTTTCAATGTGGATGGCCTTCAAAAACATTATGCTAAGTCAAAAAAAGCCAAATATAAAGGCCTATATATCATATTCCATTTAAATTAACTTCTAGAACGTGCAAATAAATCTATAGACAGTAGTTGTCAGGAGGTCATGGTGGGAATTGACTGTAGTGAGCAAGTGCATATCAATTTTAGGGAAGTTAGGGAAGTGAAATTTGGGGGGCAACTTCCCTTTCTTCCATTTTCTGGTATTGCTTTTTTTTTTTTTTTTCCTGGGCAAAATTATTATATTATTTCTGCCTTTAATAAAATTCATCATAAACCCTCCTCTCTAACTCTACAAAGATATTTTAGATGTTTTAGCAGTTGCTCTATCTCCTATTTTCCCTCTCCATATTTCAAAGTTTACTTACACAATTTATTTTAAGTATGTGCTTCACAGGTTTTAGTAAACATACTGTTGTGTAACTATGGCCACTCAGAAAGTTCCCTCTTGCTCAATACAGTCAATTCCCACCATGACCTCCTGACAAATACTAACTGGCTATCTATAGATTTATTTGCATGTTCTAGAAGTTAATTTAAATGGAATATGATATATAGTCCTTTATATTTGGCTTTTTTGGCTTAGCGTAATGTTTTTGAAGGTCATTCACATTGAAACAAGTTGCCATATAGAAATATTCATTTTTATCATGGTGATGGTATAATTGGAAAAGGAAATAAAGTTGTTTCCACCTTTAAAAAGAAAACAGAAAATAAAAGGGATTTTTGAGACAATTCTTTAAAGGCAAGACTCTACCAAATTCTTCGATACTACAGAAGACCATAAAACTGAAATCCACAAGCAAATGTCATTAAATATAATAAAGACATTTTCAGAACTACATTTTATCTAGGAAAAAATAACCATATTGTTTTCCTTACTTTTGGGAGAATCAGAGTAAGCCAACTAAGTGAAAAAATAAAATTTACAAGCATTTTACATGTTACCACTCAGTACTTGGTTAAAACTGTGTATATCACAAATTTTGAAAAGCTACTGAAAACACCTTAGTACACAATTATTCATCCTGCAAATTATCCGCAGATTTAGTGCTAATTTCAGAAATAAACCAAATTTATATATGCAAGGTAAGCCTAATTAGTTAAGCTCACAAAAATGTATTAGCCGATTTTTAGAACCTAATGTGCTCAAGAAAGTATTTTGCTTTTAAATTAGAACAGCTCTGTATTTAATTAGTCCTCATTTGAGTATGTAATCACCTTAATTTATTTGCACAAACATAGGACATTGTGCTCCATCAGCAATGTTCTTCATTAACAAAGTAGGAACTTTGTGCACAAGAGCAGAAGAAATATTTCCATCTGTGATGCAACATCAGAACTGAATACTATCAAATCTTATAGTCACCATTTGTTGATTTTAGGGTCATCATCCTGAGATGCATATTAATGATAATATATTTTTGATTAAGTACACTGCCATTCCCTAGAAACCAACAATTTAAATATTTAATGTTTCATTTTACCTATCATCCAGTTATAAAATGGATATTTACTTGGCAATGAACAAAGTAACTTACTAAAATTCAAGTAACAGTATTACAATTCAAGCATCAGTAATTTGTATGGTGCAGAAGCATAATTAATTTAATTTTAAAAAATTCTTCATTATGGTATAAAATAATAGCAGTTTCAACTGTCGAAGAGGCAAGAATAGGTTTTATTTAGACTGCTGGAAACAAACAGTATATACTGGAAAAGTCAATGACATAGCATTCTTTCATTAAAATGTAACCAACCTATCCTTTCTTAAGGCATTTTGAATAAATGTTGATATTTGTGTTAATTACCTATTATCACAGTTCTCCAAAATCCTAAATAACTCTCAAAAGATTCTTGTTAACTTTTATCTACTTTTGAAAAGGTACTTATGTTTTTGCTTGATTCTAAATGTTTCATTTCTAAAGTTCATATTCTGACACACACATCATTCAATACAGATAACTTCATAATTTAAGCTTTTATTTTCAAATAAACTGGAATTTATAAATATTGAAATCACTTAGTAACTAGCAGTTGAAATTTGACATGACAACACAAAATGTGTCAGTGGATACTTTGTGAGGACTAACTTGGGGCATTATTTGGATAGGAGGTTTGCTCCAGGTAGTATTTTAAAGAATGGCTTAGTGCTATTTTTTTGTCAAGCATGCTTCCTGTTAAGACTTTTGCCGTGGGAGATGCTACATTTTGAAAAATTCAGACACTATTTTATGAAAGACTAAACACTGTTATATAAATGTTTTTTGTGTGTAAGTATATATACATATATGTATATATAATTTCCCCTCCCACAGGGCAAGATAAACAGGTTGACTTGAGTCATTACCTCAGATCTTCTCTATATGACAAGAGATCTTGAAACATGGTTTTTATGTCCTACTTGTCCATGACTGAATGAAAGTGCCCTACAGAATAAGATTCTAACTTCTACATTTCCTGTGTTATTCAAACTCTAAAGTCCCCATTCATATGGTGGGGGAGTATATAATTTCAAACCAAATTAACTTTTTTTTTGGTAGGTAGCTCTAATTCTATAGGCTCTCTATTCACCTCACTGATTGTTTCTTTTGCTGAGAAGATTATTAGTTTGAATCCATCCCATTTACAGATTCTTGATTTTATTTCTTGCACTATAGGAGTCTTATTAAGGAAGTTGGGGCCTAATCCAACAAAGGTAATTTTAACATTGAAAAAAATTATCTTTCTTAGCTATGGAGAAGTTAAATAATGCCTATTAGGGTCAAAAATACATACATTCAAACTGTCAATTATACAGTACTACTTAAGTTCTAGCCAAAGTCCTGTAATTAGACACATTTTAAAAAAATTCTTTGATTGAATGCTAGTATCCAAAGATAGCATTTCAAGATTTATAGAACTTTGCATATGCATTACTATGTCTGAAGAATGCCTTTTCCAACAAAACTAAATAGTTCTTAAAAAGTGTGAATACAGTATGGTAGTAAAGTCACAAAACATGCATATACACCATGTGTTAAATTAACTACATGTCCTTGGCATGTGTGCATTCGCAAGTAAATAACACAGTAATGTGCTTTAACTTGCCACTCCATTTACTGAGAACATGACCTGGAATGAGATACAATATGTGTCAATCTGTCATCCCCACAGTGAGCTTTAGTTAATTTATGTTAATCACTGGGTGAACTGAGCTAAGCTGAGGGTTTCTAGTATTTAAAGGTATTTGTATGTTTTTGGCATAAAAAGGTACATAAGAAACAGAAATCCATTCCAATGCCAGACAAAAAGAAAATATCCACAAATTTTGAGACACAGATTACCATTCTTTAATGTATGCATAAATATGGCTATATATATTTTTGACTTGGAATTTTATAAGGGAAATATTGGCTATACATGACTCTTCATATAACCAAGCAAACTCTTGCATTAAATGCAATTTCACTGTATGGGTATATTGATAGAGCTACATATTAACTGGTTTTACATACTATTATTTTGGAGCTAAATAAAAAAAAATCTGTACAACAATTTAAAAATTATTTTGTTGTGGGGATAGGCAACAAATAATAAAGCAATATTATCCATTTGGGGAATGTGGCTGATAATGACCAGTGTTAACTAAGAATGAATTTAATTTCTAAAGCATAATCTACCTTATTCCTCAGAGCTTAATATTAACAGAAGGCATTCATACATTGCTTTAAAAGAACTGTATTTAAAAAACTGAAAAACGTAAAGATACTATTTAAATATTACAATAAAATATATTATTCTAACCAAAACTATTAGTGAGTGTGTTTCTCCTGAAGATTAAGTATGAAGAAAAACATATTTATGTGATGACAGAAATTAGAACTTATGATCTTATAGGAAATGTGTTTTAATTTACCTCAACTTTTTATACTTGAAAAATTGCTCTAAAAAACAACCATTAATTCTTCAGTTTGGATTTTTTTTTTTTTTTAAATAACGTTTTTCTTCCATACCATGACTTTCTCATAAGTGTAACAGAACTTTATATAGAATTAGAGGCAGTTTCTCTAGAAAAAGCCAGTGGTCAATATACATGGCATAGTATTTTCATACAGATTATCTGGTAAGAAAGCTTGAATATAAATCAAATAAATTCAATGTAAGAAAATAAATTTCTTCTCATTTAATCTTCTTTTTCTGATTCTATACTAACTGAATTCTATTTTTAAATCTAAGGTGGAGAGTCAAGATCAAACCCTAATTACAGAAAATGAGACACAAAGAACAGTTGTTTAGTAAAAGTAAACAACACAATTAAAATTAATTGGGAAAACTTTAATTATTAAGCATCAAATGTACTTTACATTGATAAATGCAATATTCAAATTGTGAAATTTTAAATATTTTTCTCAAAAAAAGTTAGCAATTTTCTTTCTCCTGGGAAATGTGGAGACCCAACTAAGCAATAATGTGGTCAGTTCAGGTTTAGATAATATTAATATCTACACAGCCGTTCACGTTTCATGTCTATTGTGAACTTCCCATATCTTTGAATTTTAGCAAATAATTTTCATGAGATAATTTACAGGACTGTCAATTCTTTTGAAGTGCAAACTCACAACACTCTGCCTGGATCCTGTTTTTGTTGTTTCACTGTACTTAATTTGAGAACACAGGTAATTTTTCTTTCCTAATTCCTTGGAAAAAAAATTCTGCAATAAGTTTTGTATCTTGTTTACTTTATATAACTGGGTTGTTTTTAAGAAAGATTATCAGCTTTGTGGTTAGTTTCCCACAGTTGATAAAAATCTATCAAAAACATCGTAATATAATTTGTAAGGAAGAAAAGTTGTTTTTCAAAGAATGCAGAACAGGAAAGAAATAGTACTTCTTATTTGTATAACCACAAACACTTAAAGCTAGTCACACTGCAGGTAAATCCAATACAGTATTCAAAAGTTCTATAAAAATGAACAAAAGATACATGTTTACTTCCACTGCTCCAAAAGTCTATTGTAAATCTGCACGAGAATTGTGTTGCAGCAGTGTGCTGGTCCAATTTAAGAGTTCAAGGTTCTTTTTGTGTATTTGGCCCACTGACGTCCACATCCCAGTAAGTTCAGTTCAAAAGACGGAAATTAGGGCAAAGACTCCATATAATAAAGCACATGGATATGCTACTAAAAGTTGCTGTCCTTCCATAGCTAATGCAGAAATAAAAATCTTGGAAGCGGAAAAACTACACCATCCAATAATCCCAGCAGTGAGAATGATTCCTATCATTCCTCTGTAACAAAAAAAAAGGGGGGGAGGTGTGAGACAGATGAGATTAGTTGTATAAGAACACTACAATAACCTGTTCTAAAGAAAAGCATTTTAATCCACATGTAGACATACAGAAATAATCAAGAATTTTTTTCAAATGTTAAAATGTACCTCACAGTAAATTCAATAATGCTGAATCACTTTATGTGATAAAAAGCTAATTTATAACCACATTTTGCTCTTTTAAAATATGAGATTTCCTAATTGTGGCACTTCTGAAATTCAGGCTGAAAATTTCTTTGTTGTAGAAACTACTCTGTGCATTATTAGGACATTCAGCAGGTATCCCTGGCTTCTAGCTTTAAGATACTACCATTCCTGCTTGCCCACAGCTATGACATCAAAATTGTCTCTAAACACTGTCAAATGCTCCCTGGAAGCAAAACTCTACTGGATGAAAATTAGCATTTTAGTATAAAAGCAACTTCTATAACATTCAAATATAAATATATTAATTCGTAACAAATCACAAGCACAAAGCAGCTTCTTCTGAAGCATTTGTTCAAAGGCAGAATGCTGCAAAGCCATTATCTTGCCAAATTTTTCCTACTGCTTTTCTCCTAAACATTCATTTTGACCATCTATCTGAAATAAAGCCTAATCATTGGTAATGTCCAGTATAAGCCACAAGGAGGTGCTTGAATTACTGAAAAAGAATTTGCACACTGGCCATAAGGAGGAACTTCATGAACAGTAATTGACCTTTCTATTTAATCTACCTAAAAGATCATTTAAAAAGTACACATATTTAAAGCTATATACAAGTACATCTGAGAACATGGGGATTCATAATAGCCTCTTATCATAAAGAGTATGTTTCATTTTCAATTATAAAGCTGTCAAATCAAGACTATGTATTTATTATTCATTCATTTCACATATGCTCAAAGGTGTCAAACAATTTGATATGATCTAAAGCATATTAAGAAGGGTAAGCATAATAACTTAAGATGAATAACTTAAACTTTTCTGCGTGTGATATAATGATCACAATTATTCATTACTGCTATGACCAGGCTAAGAAAATAAACACAAAACAAGTAAAATTCTTTTCATAAGTAAAATGAGCTTTCATAAAAGATTTTAAAATTTATTCCCATTTTCTTTGCTCATTACCCAAAAGCATGTAGCAAAGTTCTTACCTACAAGAGCCACTTTTTGATATGCTTGTTGAATCAGTGATTTCAAACTGAAGATAAGATGAATCCTACTACATGGAATTGTCAATTAAATCCCAAGATAAAGATCAGTACTTACTGCAAAGAAAAAATCACTGCAAAGCTGGAAAGTAGGATCATGGGAAGAAGACAATATCCCAGGACACTTGCCACACAACCAAATGAAACACCTGTCATACTCATTAAGTTCAATAAACAAAACATCCCTAGACATCCAATTGCACTGATTCCATATACGTAGCCAAACTGGATTTTGCCAGCCTACAGGTAAAGAAAAGATAACAGGTTAAAAGGCAAAAAAAAAAAAAAAAAAGTTCATTTTGACATAATTTCCCTTAAAAGAGTACAGATATAGAATTCAAGATCAACAAAATCTGAAGATGTATATATTCTTCACTTAGGGAAGTATAAGAACAGACTAGTTTTTATATACTTCTTAAGCTTAAAGTGATATCACCTCCCAATACAGATATTTAATTTTCCATTTTCCAGGTAACATCTGAAGTTGGCATAGAATTGAACAAATAAAAGGACAAAATTATGGTATAATTACTCAAGCTAGCTGGATTTCTAAAAAAGAACTTCGGTTGAATTTAAGCAAATAAACCACAAAGACATGAAAGAAAGGCATTCAGAATGCTTGAATTGCTAATAATCATTTGAAGGCCCCTGATTTCATCCCAAATGCTCCAAAGCAACTTATTCTCAATGGCAGATGTAGCCATAATCTTTCTAATAGCAGAAATAATTTTATCAATTACTTTAAATACATATTAGCAGAGCTAGGAGGAAAGAAGTCAGGATAAGCACTAAGGTCGGGCTCTGTGGAGAAAGGAGGAAAAAAAGCAAGAATATAATGGAACATTTTTTTCTCTCATTATTTTCCAAAATAGTTACTTTTTACAGTTCTCTGACCAAATAACAACAAAACCTTAATTCTGCTCTGGTAAAAGACATCATTAGACAATTTCAGAATAGCAAAGTAGGTTAATTAGAACTACCTCACTAGTCAAGGTATGTTAAAAAAAAAAAATCACTGTATTCATGCCACACATTCACTAGAACCTGTCTATACAGGAACCTTCAAAAAGACCCTGGTTTGTCAAATTTTCTTCTCATTTAAGATTTAATCTTAAAAATTCTTCTACATTTCATATAGCAAAATGAAAAATCCTTAGAATTTTTATAACAAAATATATTTGTAAATACTTCATTAAGAGTGTGGAAATTTGAAAAAGCCAGCTGAATTCATTGATGAATTCATTCATGTAGCAATAATAAAATCCCACACTTACACAGTGCTTTTAACTTTTCAAAGTGTTCTGCCATAACCAGTCTTATTTTATCTTCAAAACAATCCTGTTAGGTAGGCAGCCCAGGGTTATCTATCAGAGGGATGTCAAGGACAAAGTAGATGTTCAAGCCCAGCTCTTCTGTAAATTTCCGTTTTTATTCACTACATTATTTATCTTTTGCAATTTAGAGATATAATATAAAACAGGAATAATTATCTTTAAAATGTTTCTTTTCATTCTCAATATACTTTAACATTCTTGGGAGATAGTGTGGAAAAATCCCATAGTTCTTCAAGGTTTTGATTCATTACAAGGTAAAATATATTTAGGAAAGTAATCATGAGTCCAACAACAAAACACTGACCACCAGGTCTAGCATTTAAAAATCAATAAGCAAAAAATACTATCATTTAAAAACAGCCAAAGCAGGCTAGGTGCTGTGGCATACACCTATAATCTCAGTGACTCAGAAGGCTAAAAGCAGGGGGATCACGAGTTTGAGGCTAGTCTCAGCAACTTAAGAGAGACCCTGTCTTAAAACAAAAAATAGTAAGAGATGGTGATACAGCTCAGTGGTAAAGCATCTCTGGGTTCAACCCCCAATACAAAAAAGACAAAGCAACAGGTAGAGAACATTAATACCTGCAAAGTAGGAAGTAAAGGGACTGATTGAAGGACTGAAGCCACATATTATGTAATTTTTCCTTATTGTTTTGTTTTTTCCCTAATTGGACCACTTCCTGAAATAAGAACCATAAATACACTACATGGTTCTACTGATGTAGAAATGATGAATAGGTATATATTCGAACAACTAAATGCTATGTAAAACACATCAAAGACTTGAGGTATAAGCAAAATTTCAAAATGGCTTTTAATAGAATATTTAAAGATTGTTAAAAATCTGAGAGATGAAATTAAAAATCTTACCAGTAACAACGTGGCTCCAAAGGCAAGGCAAAAAACCATTGGTCCTGCCAAATCAGTTTCATTCATAATGCTGCCATCTGCTACTTTTAATGGATGTAGCACTGTTAGTGTTTTTTGCCAGATGTGGTCAAAATTGATACCTAATTCTAAGGGAAAAGAAAAAAAAGGACATGAACTAGAAAGGGTACCAGATGTGATGAAACAGATAATAATTACATCTCTCAGCTATGACTGCACAGCAAAAAATACATGGACAGTGGTAATAGTAAGGGGCTCTTTATCTAAGGCTTCAGGAACACCTGGTGGCCCCATGAAATTGTATACAAAACTATGTCTCTATGCATATGTGTGCATTTTTCTGAGGAGAGTATTCACAGCTTTCTTTAGACTTTTAAGGGTCTTTAGTCCACACACACACAAAGAAGGTCAGAACTACTGCTCTGTAGGTTTTGAAAACTACAATATTTTTTAAGTAACATTATCAGTCTATTAGTTCATTTCCATGCTCAATAATCTCTACTGTTATTTCCTTAATTTCTTTCACTGATAAAATTTAATAATCTGAAGTAAAAGTCAGTCTTTACAAACTGATATACTTTAGTATTAGTTAACAACAAAAAAAATTCTGTTGCCTCTGGCCCAATGTGGTTTCATATACACTTTGTTCAAAATGAGCTTCTAGCCAGGCATGATAGTGCACACCTGTAATCCCAACAGCTTGGGAGGCTGAGGCAGGAGAACTGCGAATTCAAAGGCAGCCTCAGCAACTCAGCAAGACCCTGTGTCTAAATTAAATATAAAAAATAGCTAAATATGTGGCTCAAGAGTTAAGCATGCTGGGTTCAATTTCCAGTACCCCCACCCCACAAAAAGCTCCTAAGTTGAAAAAAATTTTTCATATATGATTGTTTTCTTAATGAAAGGACATCTCCTCAAAATTAAGTTTTATTTTCACTGACCAGCTAGATACTAAAGTACAGGTTGAGTATCTCTCTAACCTGAAAATTCAAAATCTGAAATACTCCAAAACTGAAATTCTTTGAATGCTTGGCACAATTCTCAAAAAATTTCAGATTCTGGAAGATCTAAGATTTCAGAGTTTTGGATTAGGGATGAGGAAATCTAATCTACAAAAATATTCTATCATCTACAAAAATATTCTATCATCTACAAAAATACTCTAACATCTGAAAAACTTCAAAATCTAGAACACTTCTGGTCCCATGCTTTTCAGATAGAAGACATTTAACTTGTACTATCAAATGTTACAACCAATCTTACCTTCTAATAAAGGTGGTTCATCCTCAAAGTTGTTTCCGTAGAATGGCTGAGGTGTAGCTGGAGTATATGCCTGAGCTGGCTGGAAAATCTGACCAGTGTATGGCTGTTGTGGCTGCATCATGTCTGCAGGGACAAATCGGCCTTGCTGCGCATAGTCATAGCCAGCATACTGTCTACAAATCAAACACAGTTCAATTGTTCAAAAATATTTCAATTCACTGACAGTTGATATCCTTGAAATTCCTAAACTTTCATTTGACAGGTCTTGGTCATGCTATTTCTAAGATACTAACTTTGCCAGTGCTTATAAATACTAGTTGAAATGATTGAAAGATTAAGCTGATCATCTACACTGAAAAGTCACCTGCTTTTATACAGAATCTTCCTGATGTCAGTATTCATTTGTGCAGTGTATTTTAAGTAGTTTACAAACTATTACATTTTCAAACATTAGAATGTCAACAGATAAAAACACAAATCTATTTATTTTTCTATTTTCTTAGTGAGGGCACATAATATTACAATACTCCATGAAATAAATTTATGCATAAGAGAATGAACTGAGGCTTACGATGACAGACTTTACATGTTACATAATTTCCCACATAATTTGTATACCTATTGAATCATCCTTTTACTTCTCATGCTGTTGTTATTTTTTGCAAGTGAGTAAATCTCTTTAACAGTCTATTTTAAACCACAGCATGGAAAAATCAAGTTTGTTTTTGTTCAATCTTTGTGAATATAATAAAACATTATTAGTACACCTTGCATTCAAATAGTACTTTTAAATTTTCAAAGTGGTTGTATACCTATTGTCTCATTTGATTTGTACTAGAGAAAATCCTAGATTTAGAGGGTGACAGATACCTTACCACTGGTGTTTTAGCGACAATGACAAGAAGGAACCAAAAGATACTGAAGCCACACCTTCAAATACCTGTTTGATCACATTCTGGAAAATGTACCTAATCTAGCTATGTATTAAGAAACACAGACGCATACTTTTATTTTAAAAGTAATTTTTTAAAAAATACCTTTATTTTGTTTATTTATTTTTATGTGGTGCTGAGAAAGAACCCAGTGCCTCACAAGTGAGGGGCAAGCACTTGACTGCTGAACCACAACCCCAGCCCCCAAAGTAAAATATTTTTTAAAAAATTAGTCTATTAAATTTTTTTGGTCTCTTTTCAAAAAATACAAAAATCTAATGAGGGTTTTTTTGTTTTTTTTTTTTTTTTTTTTTTTTTGGTACTGGGGATTGAATCCAGGGGTGTTCAACCACTGAGCCAGATCCCCAGCCTTTTTAAAAATATTTTATCTAGAGATAGGGTCTCTCTGAGTTGCTTAGGGCCTCACCAAGTTGCTTCCCAAACCGCTGGGATTACAGGAGTGCACCACCATGAGATTTTAAAATAAAAATTCTTAATTAAACATTTCAACTAAAAGAAAATCAAAATAACATTAAATGTTTAGCTACATACAGTCCTTTTGGGACTCCAATGTGATTCTCAAATCATAATCCTTTAAAATGTTACTATGTGCAAAGCACTGTTTTAAGTGTTTAATGTGAATTCTCTCAAATTATGCTCACTATAACCCCATGAAGTCACACCATATTAGATATTGTATTTCTCATTATAAAGATATGGAGAGTGAAATTTAAAATAATTTGCCCACGGTGGTGCCTAGATTCAAACCTAGGCTTTCTGACTCCAGTGGCCAACTCTTAACAATTGTAATAAAAATCACTTCAAAATCCTATATCAGAGATAACTTAAGATAACTTAACAGCCTTTTCACTATGTAAATATGTTGATTTCTACTTACATACATACCCATCCATACATGCACACCACCCAACAGGGCTAGCTAGGTGAACTACAAAAAGAATTCACATTTCCTGATTTAGCACAATATATACTACTGTGATGATCTTTGTCAAGAATTTATTGGAGTCTATGAAAACACAACTAAATCTCCATATGGAGGTTTCTACAATCTGCTTAAAAAAGACTATTTTATATCTGAGAGAGAGAGAAAGAAAAAAAGAAATATGACTCAATAGAAAATCAAAATGAACAATACAGATTAGCAGATCTCAAACTCTTTGGTATTAGAACACCTTTATATTCTTAATATGTATTGAAAACCCCAAATAAGCTATTTTCTATCAAAATTTATAATAAAATAAATGTTTAATAAACATTTAAAATATTTATAAATTCATTTAAAGTAACAATTCCAATACATTATATTTTAACCTTTTTATGAAAAACTTTCTAACCAAAACAGTATTGAAAAAGTCACACTGTATTTTTAAAAATTTCATTAATGGCTGGTTTAATAAAAGCTAGATTCTTACAACTCCCTCTGAATTTAATCTGTTATGATAAGTGGTTTTAGGTGAAGTACCTGATGAAAAAACCATTCTGCAGGCATGTAGCTAGGAAAAAAAAAGAGTACTATAATAATCTTTTTGAATGATCATGAATGTTCTTTTTGATGCCACATCGAAAATTCAAGTTGCAACATGGAACTTGAAATACCATCAATGAACTTTTTGTACCATTACATTGAAGTAACACTCTGAATGGTTCCTTTATTCTTACATGATTCTGTAAACATCATGCATTGGCCACTTAGAAAAAAAAAATCAGTATTAATTTTATTAATTTTGGTTATCTTCCAACTGGCATTTTATTCTACAATATTAAAAGATCATATTTAATATCATCATTGTTCTCATCAGAAAAATAGTTAAAAAAATAGTAAAAAAAAAAAAATCTCTTTCACCTGAAAACTCAAAACTGATCATTGACGACATAAACTGTCAGTTGCTTTCTTTGAAATGACAGGCTCAGTTACTCATTTTTCAGAATATATCTGTTAAACACTCAAGTTGAATAACTGCAATTTGTCAGCTATTATTTCAAATAAAAATGGTCTCCATGAAAAAGCTGGTTGCAAACTGGTTCAGCTTGCAACTCAAATTGTACATGAGGGCTTCTTAGAGATACCATAATTTCAGTATGTAATAGATGTGCTTTACAAGTGTTTTCCATTTTGTCAACAAAATATTGAAGAAATGTGTGTACTATGGGTCAGGATTTAACAAAACAACAAATGTTATTGCTTCATTAAGGGAATACTTGAATGAAACTGACTCCCTCTGCTCTTCTACGGGTGTGTAGCCTTGAAAAATACAACTACTAGAACAATTTGATACTCCTGTGATGACTTATACTTAGATAACAGCAGTTTTACCAAACATATTTTTACTACATCAGTGCAAATGTTAATACATCTAAAAAGCATACAGAATGTCTTAGTATTACCATGAAAGTAACTTTTGGCTTTAAAAGCCCCCTGAAAAGTCTCAAAGATCCTCTAGGGTCTGTCATCCACAGTGAGAAATACTAATTTAGAGTCATAAATTAAAAGTAAGTAAGAGAAACAGTGAGAGCAATTGACCATTTCTAAGCTGGCATCATCATTCCATCTTCAGGATGCCACATGAGAAAGACAACACTGTGGCATTTTACTACCTCCCTTTTCTGACAGGACCTATGGAAGAAAACTGACTCACTCCTTTTAAAGGAAAACATGGTATGGCAGACATAATCTTTACAGATTAGCAACATTTTCACAGCAGGAAAAGTAGCATATGCTAAATCAATCTCTGAAAAAGTACTTTATGTCTTTGTTGTTGAACAAAGACAAAGCCTCTTATTCCACAAAGGTATTATCAGTTAAGTCAAAGATGAAAACAAAAGCTCTCAGTGTTTTTTTTTTTTTAAGTACTGGAGAAAAACATAAGTGATTGCTGTTGCTATATATTTTAGAAGTGTATCTAGAATACAATGTGGGATCTATTCAATATCATACATGCCAAAACAAAACAACAAAAAATAAGTTATGATAAAAGAATATTTACTTTTGGTTTTTGTTTGTTTCATTTGGCATATGAGTGTTATCAGTGGTATCTGTGAAGCACCCATAGAAGACACCAGAAAATGTTAAAGCTGACATCATATGGAAAATGCCAATGATAGACTAATAAGCCAAACTTGAAGACAATCCAAATATTATGCCTTTTGAATCTAGATTTTCAACAACAAAGAGTTATCAGCTGATATTTGTTAACAAGTTAGCAAACCACACAGATAACACTTGGTAAGCTAATATAAAGTTTTAAAATATCATAAGGATGCAGATCTATTTTCAGATACATACAGAAGTGGAAAAGCACAACTTATAAAGTGTAAAGAACTTATAAAGCTAAGAAACACATATTTATTACTGCTAATATATAACACCTTTTGTTTTCCTAAGTATTATCTATAAACCCTTAATTGTTAACTGGCAGCAATGGCTATATAATTACATAAGGAGGAAAAAAAAAACCCTTCTTCACAAATACTGAAGCAAAGCTTAGTAACCCATGATTTGGTTGGAATGGAATTATGAAAATAGTTAGCAACAGAATATCTATACAACTTCCAAATGGAGAACTGCAATTAGATAAGCCACCTTTTTATTTATTGTTTTTTATTTTGGGGGGAGGCTTACCGGGGATTGAACTCAGGGGCATGTGGTTACTGAGCCACATCCACAGCCCTATTTTAGAGACAGGGTCTCACTGAGTTGCTTAGTGCCTCACTTTTGCTGAGGCTGGCTTTGAACTCATGATCTTCCTGCCTCAGCTGCCTAAGCAGCTGGGATTACAGGCATGTGCCACTGTGCCCAGTACACATTATTAAGTGATACAAATATGGATAGGTTATAAAATAAATGCTGAGGTAGATAAACTTGGGAGGCTGCAATCTAAATGTACTACTTCTATAAGTCTAAAGATGGTTAAAAAAAGAAATGCTGAGGTAGACAGACCTAGGAGGTTGCATCTAAATGGAATACTTCTACAAGTCTAAACATTAAGATCTTTTGGTTAAAAACAGGCTGGCATATTGAGATAACTAGTAGCAGTCAAGCGTTGGAGAGCCTAAGTCTCTGGTCAATCTTTGGCCCTTCGATACACAAAGCAATCATCAAAAATACATATTTAGGTAAATTAATGATTGGAAACCTCTAAACATGATTTTCCCATTCTACTCAATTGTTAGATCAAGAGAGATAACTACTCATAGGTATGTAACTGAGCACTACACAAAAGGAAAAAGATAATTCATAGATTCGGGTATTTTTACATGTTCACCCCTACTGTTCAACAGGTTATGTATTTACATCTCAAATTTATCAGACTTAAATAGTCTATAGGTTATAAAAAGGTGCATAGTGGGGCTGAATTTTTCTTTTTTAAATATCATTGGCACTTTCACTCAGATACATTAATGCAACGTATTCTAGTACTACACACTTCTCACAGACTGACTAGATACACAATCTTTTCCCTATCATGGAAAAGTCTTCATGGAGTTTTAAATCCAGGATCCATAGATGAACAACAGATGACACATGGATTGTCTACAGTTATATACACATTTATTTGGGGAGTTTATGCATGTACTCCTGAAAAATGGGTCCACAGTTTTCATAAGATTCTCAAAGTGGTCCAGGACCACCTAAAAATGTTTAGGAACCCTAATATAGAAAACTCCTTCATTTGCCAGAAGAATAATGAGATTTATCTCTAAGGTTCTAAAAGACTAAAGATAGAATAGTTCCAGAAGAAATTGGGAAAAAAAACCTTCAGTTAACATATTTTTGCCACAAACTCCAGATACTATAATAAGATTTCATTCTATTTTTAACAGTTCAGACTGAAAGGACTTCAATTTTCCTATTGAATCTGCAACTGATGTCTGCTTCAGTGTGAGCAATAAAAATGATTATCAATTGCTATATGAAAATCACCTGATGACTCATAACAAGGAGCTTCCATTGTTAAACCGTCTTAAACAGTGCCACCAAGCACTTTCAATTAGAGTTGATAGCTTCTTTTTTTTTTTTTTTTTTGTAATGGGAATTGAACCCAGAGGCTGACTCAACCACTGAGCCTCATCCCCCACCTCTCCAACCTCACTTTTAAAAAAAAAATTTGAGACAGGGTCTCACTAAGTCGCTGAGGCTGGTTTTGAGCTCGTGATCCTCCTGTCTCAGCCTCCTCAGCTGCTAGGGTTATGAGCCAACATCAATTACCTGATAAAATCAGAAAGTTGGACTGTATTACTACACAAGCCATCAAAAGCTTTTGACAGTCCAGTGGGACTATGTAGGAGCCTATCTTCTAAGTACTTGAAGCTTGCATCCTCATTTTAAAGGATACAGAAATACGGTAACTACCTCAATAAGCTACTTTTCTACCCTGGCATACCTGAAGATTTTGCAGAAGATACCAAATTCTAAATAGGATAATCTCTTCAAACTCAAATTAGTGTCACAGATTTCTCCAGAAAAGAAATTTATTAATAATCACATTCCTGAAAAGGGACACGTTCACACATTCAGTTTTGGACAGAACTACATATTCTGAATACATGCTTTCAATGCAATGTAAACTAAATAAATCGCCAAAGCTGAAAGGTTACTTGCTATAGGGTCCTCCACTTCCTCCATAATCATAGGACGGCTGAGATTGGTCATCGATGCTGTAACTTGTCTGGTAGAATTCCGTGTTTAAGTTCTCAAAGCCTGACATTGCAAATGATCTGAAATAGAAGAGAAAAAGCATGCCCAAGGCTCTATTGAAATCATTCATGGCACTTTGCTTAAGCAAATAGTCAGAAGACAGTAAACATTTATTCCCCAGTAATTGTGGAAAGCAGCATTTGGAAGGTGGTCGGGGAAAAGGAGTATGAAAATATCTAGTTTCTAAGTCGAGGCCGTGGAAGACACTGATAAGTCTTTTGGTAGGGGCGAGGTCGTGGGAGGGGTGACTCCACAAGGATCTACAAGATCAGTTATAAAAGATGATTCCTCAGAGGCGTACAGCTGACAATACGACTGTCTCCTTGAAACCAAGGCTCTAGGCCCATCAGCAAAGTGCAGAATCCTAGAAGGTCGCGCCTAAGGTGCTGAGACCACGGCAGAAGGAGTTGAAAAGAGAGTAAGGGTCTAGAGAAAAGCGCCGAAAGAGGGCAACAATCAGAGCCGCACTACTATCGGGAGAAGCCAAAGAGTGTGCCACAGACCAGGGACACTCACCAAACGCGGGGGCGGCAGCGGCGGAAGCAGTTGTACCTCCAGCGGCCCCAAATAACCCCCAACTCAGTTCCAGACCCTGTAGTAGCCCCGTTGCTACGTGTCACAGGGCCAAAAAACTGCTTCCGGGGCACGCCCGCTCGCGCAGGCGTGTTGGCAGGATTACATTCGGTTGGAGTCCGGGTCGCGGTGGAGGGGGCGGTGCTAGAATATAGAGCATGCGCAACGTCTTGGCGGGCCAATGGGAAGAGAGAAAGTACTTCTGGCACTTGGTGAACGGCGGAGGAAGAAGGCGCAGGCGCAGCAATTGCTGATTACTTGGTGGGAGGAGGGAGTATTCCTCCCTTGTCCGGGAGCTAGGAGAACGGACGGGAAGCCGCGAGATGAAACCTAGGGATTCTCTTTCCTGTGCACTAGCTACAGAGCCGCGGTCTCTCTGGAAGTACAGTGATTCAGGCGCGGTACTAACAGTTTAAAGTATTTAATTTTTGCAACCTAATGAGATGGTTACCCTCTTACTTTACGTTTGTGAGTGTTCATTTTGTGCTACCTACTGGGAATACAATAGTGACTATTAGATTTAGGGTAACCGTCCTTCTGGGCGAGAGGGCTAATTAAGCACATACAAATAAGTTGTTATTGATATCTTTAATGTCTTATAATTTTTCGAAAGGTGTAATATTCATTTGGGGGGGAAAAAAGAGCCTTAACAGCCGCTTAGAAAGGGTGATGATCAAAAGGTTGTTAACTTGAGAGGGAAAAAGAGGGAAGGATAATGGCGGAGGATGGAAGGAGAGCTTGAGTGTTGCAGGCAGAGAGAATAGCATGTGCAAAGCCCGGAATGAGGAAAAGCATGGTGTGAGGAAAGGTGTAAATCAGGCTTTCTGAGCCTTTGCACTACTGTCATTTTGGTTTAGACGGTTCTTTCTAGGGGCGGGTAGTGCCCTGTGCATTGTAAGATGTTTGTGAGCATTCTGACCTTTATCCACTAGATTTCCCCTGAGTTATGACTAAAATGGCTTCAGACATTTCCTAGAATCACAATTTCCAGTCACTTTACCCTTGGTGGTGGAATCTTGAATATTGTCACTTTAATACTATGCTATTAACCAATAAGCAGAACCGTCTTTGAGGGTTCAGTACTTAAATTTATATAGTGAGCCTTTTCATTATATACTGGAATCAAAATACTGTGGTCCTCACAAAAGAAGCCAGACCATTGCTCTGGGACCAATTTCCAAAGGAATAATAAAATTTCACTGGTTGAAACTTTTCTCTGGGCACACATAAACACTTCAAGATAAAACAAGTGCAAAACAAACATTCTGCTTCAAACTAAAGTAGTAACAGCAAAAGAACATAGCGTCCAAACCAAAAAAACAAGTATACCGTGGAGTACAATAAACAGTTAGCCACCTTTACAAGTTCCAGCTCCATCAGCGTGAATTTCTGAAATTGCTCATCAAACTGTTTAATTTACCACTGTTTGCCAATCACTTTAGCATTTATTGATGTAGGTATCTTCTGCATAACTTTAGATAGAAAGAGCATATATTATGATTTGTCTCATTGTCTCAATTTATGCCTGTTCCCCCGCCCCCAACATTATTAATAGTGTCCCCTTTTCATTCTCAAGAATATCTATTCTTGGTTCACAAATTTATATGGTTATGCTCTTTAAGCTACTTTATCCATGAAGCTTAAGTTTCTGTTTATTAACAATATGCAATAATTCATCACTTAGTGATCTTATGGTTGAAAAAATTCTAATCTCTCATCTGATATTTCTATTTCTTCCAGTTCAAAAGAGGTGTACCACTCTCAAATTTTAATGAAATAGAAGAATATGAACAATAAATGTCTGCTTAGGAATGAATTGTTGAGCATAAATTTTATTCAAATTCTGCTTTTGTATGTGAAAGCAATTACCGTATTTGTTTAAATGTCTTCTCCTCCAACTTCTGCGCCAACTGAGAAACCAAGTAAGAAAACTGAGTTACCTGATTAAATTTTCCATATTATTTGACTTTGAAACATAAGCCAAGGTATCTTGCAGAAGTTCCTTGGAGATTTTGAGAGGATTGATTAATTTCATGGCTAGACATATGGGTCTTTCTTTTTGGAAAAAAAATTTTGAAGTTGCTTTCCCTTTCTGTGATAGGCTCCAGAGAGTTATAGGAAACTGGTAAATGTGCTGTCCTCTGTTAAAGTCATCAAGCTGACTTATTTACCAGTAGAAAGCCTTAGCCAGGTCACAAGATGGAACATGAAATGGGCTCTGGGACAGCTGCTTTCTCCTGCTATGGGATACAAGGTACAAATCACCAAACTTGTAACAAAAATGGAAAAGACATTCTAATCATGAATAACATTTTAATTTGGTTGACAGTCACACTAGTGTAATACTAATATAAGTACTTCACAAGCACACATAAAATAACTTTGTTTTCTTAGAATAGCAGCAAAATTGTTTGTCAGTATTTTAGAACTACCTTCTTTACCTCTGTTTTATAGTAATTATGTCATGTGCTAGAAAAGATAGTTTGAACATGGGAAGTTTGCTCCTATTATTCAATGATATCCCCGAACACCACTTGAGATGGAGATTTGGCATTTGTACCTGTATCATATCAAGTTCCATAATGAAACTTGATAACAGTAAAAGCCAGTATAATTGCCCAATATCTTTTTTTACTATTTCCACATATCCCAAATATGACTACTGTTTTCCCCAAATCATTGTTTATCTCTTAAAAAGAGTTCCCTCATTCAATCCCCTGTATTAGAGCTGTTATTCAAATTCTGCTTCTGTTATTTTAATTATTTTACAGTAAATTGTTGTTTGGGCAAGATAGATTTTCCTGTAATGATACAGAATACTTTTGGATAGAACTATTTTTCAGATGTCAAAAGAAATTTAATGCTGATTTAATAATTATTTTTGGAACTTTGGTATTGCAAGTGCTGTTGTTTAACAAAAGCCTTTAAAGATAATTTTTAAAACAATTCTGTAATTATTTTATTGTATAGATCATAAATACTCTCTTAATAACGAAAACATTTCTAATCTTAGATAAACATATATTGTGGTTTGGGATAAGAATTTCAGTGACAGCATTGGAAGTCCTAGGGGTCTCCAGCTACTTAGACAGAAAGAGAGGTAATGTAAAAGAACTAGCATCAGACAACCTGTACTGGTCCCTAGTGATGGCAAAGCCACTGGTGCACAGTGAAGGTAAAAATGAAGCATTTGTACATTGTGAAGTTAATAACTACACATACTGTGTGCCAGGCTCTACTCCAAGCAATTTGCAACATTTAACTCAAATAGTCCTTCTACAACCCAGTGAGGTAGGTACTGTGTAACTCCAGTTTGACACAGGAAACTGTGAAGATGGTAGGTAATTTGTCAAGCAGCATTAGGCTAGGAAATACTAAACCAGACATTTTTACTCATACAATCTGGGCCTTGAGTCCCTGTGCTAAACCACTGGGCAGCCTTGTTATTGTGTTGTAATGTGAAGGTGGGAAAGGCATTAATTCTAATTAATATACTACTTAATCTGATGTGTGGTTATGTGTATTTTTATATGTATATAAGTTAAAATTGCTATTAGATATTTGACATTTGCATCTAAATTCCCATGTGTATATGTTCAAGTTTATAAAAATATATTTTATAATCTTTTTGCTGAGGAAATGGTGGATCAATTTATGTTTAAGTTCACCTTTTATTAGTCCTGATTTTAATTAATATTGCATAGTGTTTAAGTATGCAAGCACTGGAGCTGTGTGGATTTATATCCTTTAGCACTTATTAGCCATGGATCTTTGGTAATTTACTTAAACTCCTTGTGCTTCAATTTTATTATCCATAAAAACAAGATAGTAGCAGTATTCTTCTTGTAAAGTTGGTAGGAGAATTATATGAGATAATGCATGTAAATGTTATTGTCTAAGTACTAAATAAATGTTTGCAGTTGTTGTTATTGCTGTAGTATCATATAGCTATAGAAACAATATGATTTCATCAGGAATAAAAATGGAATTTTGAAAATTTATAAGGATTAGGTTTGAACAAACTACTTCTAATATCAATTACACATATTTACTGTTTCTTCTCCTGCATATTCTGTATTGCTTTGTAATTTCTTTTTTGATACTGTAAATTTTATTAAAAATATACTTTTTTACCCTCTGTGCAAAATTTGCCATAGTTGACTTGTTTGCATTGTCAGTTTTGCTGTCATAATTTTTGATAGCAAACACTATTGTTTTAAGAACTACCCATATATTAGAATAATTGTATTTGAAAACTGTGAACAGTGCTATTTATATTTGATGTTCTTGATGTGTTTTGTGGTATTTCGAACACTAAAGAAAATATTTTCTTGTTTCTTCTTATTCTCTCTCTTCTCTTCCTCTAACACAAGGAATTTATCAGGAGACAGTAAATAAGATGAATTATGTTATGAAAGATGTTTTATTTTTTAAGAAAAGGAAATTTCCCAGTCAAATGGAACAGTTTTCACAAAAATTTTAATACGTAATGTTTCTTACAATCAAGAGGGCTCAGGGTTTACTACACTCAATGAAAGGAAAGCCTGAAAGTTACTGCAAGTGTAATATATCATGGCCAGCCTTCCTTTTAGCAGTGTACCTTTTATATTTTTCTGTTAGAATTCTTTATGACCTTCTCAATTATATATACTATAAGCTACCTCTGCTTATATTACATTTTAAGTATTTGCTGATATGAGGAATGTCATATTAAACTCTATTTTATTATAAGACATCATTTCTAGGGATAGACTTTGTTGCACCAGGAGCTTTAAGCCAGATCAGTTTTCATTTATCTTTACATCTTTTGAAGTATACATGTTAAAGCCATAGTGTTCTAATTTTTCATTTTGATCTGATTTTCACATTAATATGTTGATAATAACAGTATCTCACCAGAATATGAGTCAGGTCACTAGATATGAGGCAAGTAGAATTTGTGGGAGAGCATCCTAGCTTATTGCCCATATATAGCAGCCCACACATTTTTTACTTATTTCTGTTCTAAATGTTAACAAATGCATGTTACCAAAGCAAGAATGAAAAAGCTTGCTTAGGTCATTACTGTGCTCTGCTGATTAGAAGGGCAGGGTGCATATGTCTGTGCATTATGAAGAAAAGCATTTAGCTATTCTTGTTACTGATAAATATTAAGTAGCATTTATTAGCAACTCTTGTTACCGTGAGCTTATTAATGAGACAAACAAGTGTAAGAGAATTACCATATACTGAGCTTTTATACTGTGCCAAGTTTTCTAGGCTTATTCCCTATATCACCATTTTCACAATGGTTGGACTTTATGAAATTGCTGATATTTTATCTACAAAAGGGGAAATTTTATTTGGTTCAGCCTAAGAGGTTATATTTATTTTCATTTGACCAATGAGTAAAGTGTGGCTTACCATGTTAAGTAACTTAGCTAAGGTCACACAGAATGCATTATGTAAAAATACAAATGCATGTATGTTTTATAACTAAGGTTTAAACCAAAGTTCATCTCAAATGTCCTATGTATTTCCCAAATCTTCACAAAAAATGTTTTAAAAATAAAAGGACACCTGAAGAAAGAATTACTTTAAAAAATACTACGGTGCAAGGATGTGGAGAAAAAGGTACACTCATACATTGCTGGTGGGATTGGTGCAGCCAATTTAGAAAGAAGTATGGAGATTCCTTGGAAAACTGGGAATGGAAACACCATTTGACCCAGCTATTCCTCTTCTCGGACTATGCTCAAAAGACCTAAAAACGGCATACTACAGGGACACAGCCACATCAATGTTTATAGCAGCACAATTGACAATAGCTAGACTGTGGAACCAGCCTAGATGCCCTTCAATGGATGAATGGATAAAAAAAAAAAATGAGGCATTTATACACAATGAAATATTACTCAGCACTAAAAAATAATAAGATCATGGTATTTGCAGGGAAACGGATGGCATTAGAGCAGATTATGCTAAGTGAAGTTAGCCAATCCCAAAAAAGCAAATGCCAAATGTCTTCTCTGATATAAGGGAAATGACTCAAAATGGGGTAGGGATGAAGAGCATGAGAAGAAAATTACCTCTAGATAGGGAAGAGAGGTGGGAGGGAAGGGGAGGGAGAAGGGGAATTGCATGGAAGAGGGAAGGAGACCCCCTTCATTATATAGAATCCAGGTTTGACGATGTGAGGAAAAAAAAAAGAAATGAGTCACATTAGATTGGGTAGAGAGAAGGGAGGGGAGGGGAGGGGAGAGGAAGGGGAGGATGGAAGGACAGCAGAATAAAATAGACATTATTATTGCTATGTGTATATATGTGACTGCATGTCCAATGTGATTCTGCAACCTGTACACTCAGAAAAAAGAAATTATATCCCATCCATTTCAAATGTATGATATGTCAAGATCATTGTAGTGTCATGTGTAACTAATTAAAACAAATTTTAAAAAGGAAAAGGAAAAAAAATGCCATGGTCAGTAACTGTGTTGCACAATAATTACGATGCAGGCATGTGTTTCATTGTAACTTGTGCAGAAATAATTGGTGAGGAGGAACCTTTCACTGCTGTTGAGGAATGGAAAGAAGACAACTGAACTGACTGTTGGGAAAAAATTATTCAGCCTGTATTAGTTTCTTAAGGCTGCTATAACAAAGTACCACAACCAGGGTGGCATAGTAAATAGAAATGTTTTGTCCTACACTTCTAGAGACTATATAAGTCTAAAATAAGGAGTAGGTAGAGTTTCTTTCTTCTGGGAGCTGTAAAGAAGAATCCCTTCAAGCTTCTCCTAGCTTCTGGTGGTTTCTGGGAATCTTCAGCGTTATTGAATTGAAGATGTTGCCCTCCAACCTCTGCCTCCATCATCCCATAACACTCTGTGTTTCTGCATAAAGTCTTCCCTTTGTACATATCTGTGTCCAGAATTCCTTTTTATAAGGACACCAATTATATTGAATGAAGTCCCACCTTAATGTTATCATTTAAGCTTGATTAACTCTGTAAAGATTGCATTTACAAACAAGATCACATTCTCAAGAGGAGTAGAAACAACAGAATATGTATACATTACCTATGTGTGATTATTAAAAGGAGATTTATTGATTGGTGTACATGACCAGAACCTGGATAATCTCACAATGGCCATCTACAGGCTAGAGAACTAAAGGAACCAGTAGCTGCTCAAATGAAGATCCTGGAGCCTCACAATGAGAGGGATCAATGATGTAGCCTTAGTCCAGGACTGAAGGCCTGGAAACTCCCAGGAGTGTCACTAGTCAGAGTTTGTTTTGAAGGATGGAATGTTCTCAGGTGATCACAGCAGTAAAGAACCTGTTTAAGAAGTATTAACCTTGCATCTGCTGCTGCTTCCTTGGTCTTGCAACTTTTGTTCCATCCAAGCTCCCAACCTATTGGACTGTGCTATCCACACTTAGGGTGGGTCTCTGCCTCAGTTTGCTATCCCACAGGCCAGTCATTCCTAGAAATACCCTCAAGGACACACCCTGAAGCCTCTTAATCTTAGGTATCTCTGAATCCAATCAAGTGGACAATTCAGACCAACTGTCACATGATGTAATGGGGATAAGAAGTTTTAACATATCACTTTTGGAAAACATAATCAAGCCCATAACACACACAGTCTTATGTTCTTACTGAATTCCTTTGTCCAAACATAAACAAATCTTTTGCTATTACAGGTTCAAATGAACAATAATCTGATTTTTTCCCTTTTGATTACCTGTTCATGTCAATGTCAATTTTTTGTCACTACTATAATGAGTGATAAGCCTTTTGAATAAAATCCATGGCAATGGAATTTCTAAATCCATTCTTTTGGCTCAAAGTATATTCTCTGCATTTGGCTAAAGTAATTCATATGCATATATAAGGATGAGTACTGGAAAAATATTTTCATCAGTTTCTTTAACAAATTATGAGGCCACTAATTATAAATGATAAAGTCTTGCCAAAAGGAAATGTTAATTTTTTAAATTAATGATGATTTCTAATAATTGAAGTTAGAACTTTTTTCATTTTTAAATTTTCTCCCTTGGAGAAAAAAGTTATTTTGGCCTAACCATAATATGTTTCACATACATAGATTAGATATTTGGTTACATTTTTTTTTGTTAAGAATTACCAGCTTAACTTTACTCAGGTTTACTTAAAGATTATTTTGTTTTAAAACAATTAAAGACATGTGAAATCAAACTTATGATCTTTGTTTAATTTTGCACACTTTGTTATGGAAGTCAAAACATTTTTGCCTTGGGTTTTACGTTAAGCTGTCAAGATATTCTTTACTCTTTCCCTGTACTTATAATTTTGCACAATTTAATGAAATTAAAAATTTCAAAATTTCCCTGCTCTCTGAGATCATGGAAGGGAGTATAAACATTCTTGACCCTTGCTAACATTTTATTTTGGATAGATTAACTTCATTTAAAATTTATTTGGTTTTAGGTTTGTAAATATCACTTTCTCTAACACACTCTCCCTCCTACTCCCTGGAAATTAAGTATCTCAAGTTTGCATTAAATTCTTGGGAGGACCCTAGGAGATTAGCCTGAATTCACTGAGACAGCTCTGATCTTCATAGAAAACAAAAATAGACTGATCTTCACATAAAAATCAGGACAGTAAGTACCTCAGAAAATGGCCAAAATGCTCTTCATTTAACTGGCTTCACATAATGGGAATTAAAGAGAATTAAACCTGACAAGATATAATTTATGCCCTACCCTCTGATTTTACAAATGAGGATCTGAGGCCAAGAGAAATGAAGGAACATGTAGGACCTAAAATTGCAACTCCTCTCTTGATATTTTTGATCCTTGTAGAGTCCCCAGAGGTCACTCATCATTTCACCTGCTCCTGCCAGCTTGCCCACTATAAAACAGGCAAGGTTCCCCCACCTGGCTGGTTCCTGTCAATCATAGCAGCTGCACCCTACCAGAGGCTTCAGTCTAAGCACTTTTACCACCCTATAAACTAGTGAATGTATTTACAAAAGTCAATTCTATTCACCTATGGAAACCTAGTGTTACTCAGTCCTTCAAATATTATAAGCCACAGCCTGTTCTTGTTCCTGCTATTTCTGAATGCAAACCCCATGTGGCCCTGCCTGGCATAGTCTCTTTCTCATCTATATGGGAGTACACGTGATTAATAAACTGCTGACAGTCTCACCTTTCCAGAGTCAAGTATACCATGTTTTCAGTCCTCTGGTCCTATTTAGGGGAGAGGATGGTCCCATTTAGTGGGAGGACCCTTCTTCCACCAGCAGGGTAAATATGTGATCAGAAAGAAGACTCGGATAGATTTTTATTAATAATAGTATCAGAGCCAACAG